ATATATATATATATATATATATATATATATATATATATATTATTTTCTTTAATTCTATTATTATATTATTATATTATATATATTATATCACACACACACATAGTGGATAGATGCGAACAATAGATTCTGCCTAGCTGCATCGGAAGTTATTCATGACTCGACTTGATATAATATGAAGAAAGAGTACCCGGAATTTGATATTTATTTGATATTTATTCATTCGCGGAAAGAAATCCCTTTAGATGACAAACAAAAGATTACGAATAATTGGTTAACGTTAGGAGTCTACAACGCCTGGCGATAAGTATTTAGGCCAGAAGCAAATGTAACGAAGTAATTTAAAAGAAGAAAACGAGATTGTTCGCACCTCAATTTATGCTATTATAATATTTATAGTTATATAGAGGGTATCCCAAAAAATGTCTCGCAATCCGGAAATAGGGCGTTCTGAGGTCATTTAGAGTAACTTCTTCCTTAGCAAAAATGCGATCCGTTGCTTTGTTTTCGAGTTATCAACGAAAAACACTGGCCAATGTAAGATGAGCTTGGCTGACGCAATGCGGCCGAGCCAACGAGCGGTCGAAGCCCGGCTCCGCTCACTGGTTCGGCCGCTTCGCTCCTGCGAACACTAGCCAATGAAAAGCGAGCTCGGCTGACGCTAGGCGGCCGACCGAATGAGCGGGACTGGGCTTCAGTGTTTCTCGTTAATAACTCGTAAGCAAAGTCATAGATTGCATTTTCGCTAAGGAAAATGTCACTTTAAATTACCTCGGGAACCCCTCGTTTCCGGATTGCGAGACATTTTTGGGACACTATATATTAGCGACTCTGGACCGAGTAACAAATATAACGGCGCCTCTCGGTGCCGCTCAGTGGCCGATGTCAGGAAACTGTCAACATGGCGGCACGCTAACCTGTCAAAAACGCTGAAGTCGTATAACTTCGAAACCAATGAGTTCCGCGCTTTAAAACTTGCATTTTCGACGTTTCCTTGTCGATATCTATGGAAATATACGTCGCAAAGTCGACAAATTTTGGTCCCCTAAGGGAAATTCTAACCCCGACACTGTACCGTTGGACTTTAGAATGAGAAATTCCGGGTGTATTTCGTACTCAATATAAATATAGGAACGCGTGTAGAAATCGATGTACCCCGGCGAGAGCCCGAAATTGATTTCAGTATCCACTTCTGTTAGTTACGCGATTCCGTTCCTAACGCCATTAACGATCGAAGGGAAAACGCTCGACGCCGGATCGACTCGACAATCGTGAATCTGTATCGGATACTTGTAGGGGTGCGCGCAGGTTCGCGTGCAATTGCTATGCGCGTTTACCGTAAGCAATCCGGTGTAAACGATCAACCGGGCACACCGTGAACTCCTCGGAGAACGAGGTGGCCGTTATTACAGGGAAACGTAACGGGAACGAGTAATTAATCTAATCGCGGGATTCTATTTGTAGACGCGGGCCGCGTTGTAGATTCTATTCAATTACCGGGGCTTACAAGGTCTGCGGCGCTCGGCGTGCTCGGCACGGTGTAGAAACGCCGCCACGCCGCGTCGCCATATTTCATCGGGACAAAAGGGATCGAAGCAAACGGGGGCGCCCGCCGAGATTCGCTGCGAAAGCATTTTCTGTCGTCGCGGCTGCGGATTCGGCGCGCGATCGCGCCCGCTCCCGGACGGAACCGATCCCGCCGCCCCGGAGAAAACAGAAAACGGAAAGGGTACGATGTCTCGCGATACCCGGAGCCATCCGACTTCCGGAAGGAATATTCCAAACTTATCTTCCGCAGCCGGTGCGGCTTCTGTCTCTATTTTTGCGGCGACTCTGCCCCTATTGTGTCCTTCTCTTAAACGCGGAGTGCACTCGAGCGGATGAACGCTGGCTCGCGATCGATTACGGACTGCGTGGTTCTCAATAAAAAAAGAAAAAAAAAGGGAACTTCTCTTGCCGTCGTCGGAAGTACTCGCTCGGAATATTGCCGTCGCGAACCTTCCGCGCCCTAGAACTCGCTCGAGCTTCGAGCTTCTTGATCCGCAACCCCGGTCGCGCTTCCTTGTTTATCATGCGCAATGTACAGGCTGAGTCGTATAACTTGCACGCCCCCCCCCCCGTATAACTTTTAAATTATGCATTTAATTAAAAATTGTTAAACGCGAAAGTTGTCGAGCTTCGCGGGAGGAGGTGACGGGGTAATCACCTTTTTGCGTATAGCATAGTTCTCGAACTTTCAAGGTTAACTTTCTTCTTTTATATTATTCAGAGTGGATCGTGTCCGCGAACACGATGGCAATGTTCATCCAAGCTGAAAGAAAATATAAGATAATATAAGATAATATAATATAAAACAGTTATGATAACCAGACTACGGATTTTATGCATTTACGATGGAAATTGGTGGTTTGAATACGAAACCATTTAAACATTTCAAGAATTTCAGAGTATCGTTTTGCATTGTTCTCAGCTCATTAAAATGAGTCTAAATGAGTCTAACTCCTGCATCTTGTAATCAAACCGTTCGAATATCATTTCGCGTAAAAATTCGCGGTCTCATGATAACAAGACTGCGAATTTTTGTCAGAACACTATCAAAAGCATAGATCGAATGGAAAATAGTAAAAACATTTGAACAATTTGATAATATCATATTGCATCATCATCAACTAATTACACTTATTAAGAAAAAGAAACGAACGTTCACGTAGTTTCTGCATCTCGCAATCAATAAAGACAATTCTCATTTTCAATTCAAGACGATTTCGCGCGAACATCCGCAGTCTGATGATAACAGTTCCCAGAACCGAAACCTACGCCATAACTGTTATCAACCACCGGATAAAAGATGGCGATCCGATTAATCATGGAGAGCCAGAGTCCCTCTTCGTGAACCGGCAAACAAATCCCGAAAATAATTCCGTACGGTTCGCTGTTGCAGAGGGCAACCTGGTGGAAGTTAGCCCGCCGAGCTACCCTGGAGGCTACCCTCCGGGACACTGGGTGACGCCGGGCCCCACGCCTAGCATAGACGAGCTGTGCCACAAGTTCGCCGGAAGACCGACCGAGCTCAGGTTACCATCGAGGAGCACGATACCCAGCCTGCAGAACATGCCCATGGCGGGAATGATGGTGGGCCCGGGCCAGGGGATGGTGTTGGGCGGCAGTCAAGGCGTCGCGATGGGCGCCGGCCAGGGCGTCGTCGTCGCCGGGGAGTGTCTCGACGGCGAGGCGATCAAGCGGCGACTGATGGCGAACAGGCTGCCGGAGAGTTGCGTCTAGAGCAGGCACGGCCGGCAATCGACCTTTGCCCCGGGAGCGCCGCGATTAGCCCCCGGGGTAAGTCCCTAAGAACGAGAGACTCTCGCGAGTTCGGCGTCGTCGGCGACGCAACACTGTCTCGCTCTCCCCGCGCGGGACACTGTCCTCGACCGAGAGCAACGGGCAGGGCAGAGTCTAGGGCCTAGGTTGCTCCAAAAGCAACGTTCCGCGTAGGTGCCGTTCAGAGGTGGCGAGAAGGCGCCCGCAAACGACGCGAGCGCGTCCGCGCCGGAAGCCTCCTCGCCAGCTCTGCGCTGTGCTTCGCGCAAAGATCGCCGTCGATGCGAGTGTCCTCGCTGTTCACGCTCTGTCGCGAGCCAAGGCGGAGAGCTCCACAGGACAATCCGAAGTGATTCTCCAGAGGAGACGCCGCAGAGAAACGCGTTACTCTTCGACCACTTTCCGAGCAAGCTCTGATCGGAGCCACGGCGAACCGCGTCCGCGCCTGGTCTAGACCTTCGAACTCGCCTCCTCGGCGCGTAGTTCTCCCGCGAATCGGCCGCAAATTGGCAGCGAGATTCGGGGATCCCTCCGAAGAAGTCAATTGCGAGACGACGACGACGACGACGACGACGACGACGAGTCCACAGACAATCCAGCGTCGTAACGAGCGCCGCGTCCGCCGCGGAAACTTCCCGGTCGGAAAGAATCGGCCGACGAAACAGTTTCGAGAGCGTTTCCCTCACAGTGTCCGATGGAATGTTGTTTCTTTCTTCTCGGCGCGGGTGTGGGGAGGGCCGCGGCTGCGAGTAGAATCGGCCTGCGGAAGAATTAGGTGGAAACTTGCCGGCTCTCTCGAGTTCTCTCCCCGGCCGACGAGCACGCCGCGAACTCGCGTTCTCTCTTGTCCGAGAAACTTTCTCTCTCTCTTCTTCTCTTCTCTCTCTCTCTCTCTCTCTCTCTATTTCTCTCTCGCTCCGTGCTCCAGCGTTTCTTCTAGAACCGAATGCCGATCTTCGACAGTGTCCTCTTCCCGCGCGTATATTTCTTTCCCGAGGTACGTGATGCAAGTTTCGGGGAAAACCGTCCGTGCAAAATTTTTCGCGGAGAAATCCGGGAACGAATGGCGACAGTAACGTATCGGGAAAACGACAAATCGAGTATAATAACATATCCAGCGGCGACGCACACAGTGTTCGGGAATGCCGAATAGCTGGCCGAAATACATTTTTGTTTTTCGGAGTACGTAACCGATATCGTTTGCCTGAATTAGACGGAACTGTATTAACGCTTTGCACTCCGATGTCGCCGTTATTCGAGTCTTGCACCTCGTTTTTATAATCGTTGACAATCGGCAACTATAAACGTGAGCCGCGATGCTCGATTAATCGCATCCCCTCTTCGCAAATTGTCCATTTTTCGTTTCCAAGCTAAGCGTCAATTCGGGAGAAGAATTCACTGTACTGTGAAGTAATCATGTAGAACAGGCAAATAAAACCACGAAATCTTTTATTTATTAATTTCTATGCAATTTTATGACAGTAGAATGATTTCTATTTCTATTCAACTTTCGGTGTGTTACAATAAAATGTGTGTATGGTTATTATATTGGTAAGTGTATCAGACGAAGCCTCGAAGTGCAAAGGGTTAAATAATGGTCCAGACTATAAGAAACAATAAAGATTACTCCGAAAAGTTGATTATGATAAATTATGATCTTAGTTCTGTGTACCCCGGATAAAGAAATTTTAACTGTAACTATTTATTTTAACTATGGCATCGTAGCAAATTCGGATGCGTTTTGATACGTATCTTTTTTTATTGATAAAGATTCTTTGGTAATATTTCGTTAATAATATTGGCATTATGATGGCATATGTATATGCACGTATACATAGATATTAATGTATACGTTATTCATTTAGTCCAACTTCGATTTTGAATTTAAAAATACCAACAGGACGTATTCCTGCAAAAAAATTCCGAGAAAGATTTTTGTTTCAGGCGATAGCCGCTTCTCAATGCTGCAACATGTAGCATTTAGGCAATTAACCAATTAGGCAATTTAGTCTTGCGATATTATGCAGCATCACATAATTTTGTTGATCTATAACATCTTAAAAATCAATAAATAGATGCCGCTTTGCCTGCGGTAAATAGATAAACGATAATAACAATTACTTATTCATTTTTCTATTCTCACCGATAATGATTATTTATCGATAGATATATCGGGTCTGAAAATGAAATATAATGCAAATAGAATAAATGAAAAATTATTTCCATTTTACTACTCTTAACCCGCCATTGTTTTCTTATTTCCTATCGCCGTGTTTTGCGATTTCCAGGCAGCTTGACAGGCTTATTATTTCCGGCTAAATACAGTGGACTTCTCGAAGAATTGAATTTTTACACGAACGCTAAATGAAAGCAAGGAGTTAACATCAAATTCGTGGTCGTCGACCTCGAATACCATAGAGCACGGTGTTCTTAAACGTTCCCCCATGTTCATAATTATCGGTCAGCTTGCCGGCTATTTTGGAATACTGCGCGACGCCGCGCCGCGACCCGAGCCGACCCCGAATCCTTATCGAGGCATCGCCGTAGAATATTAGCGTGCTCCCCGGCTCGGCGCGGCTAGAGACCGCGGCCCGGGGACGGGGAAACTCGAACGACGGCGAAGCTATTCGCCGATTCACCGGTCGGCGAATTGGAACGGACGTAAATAAACCCGCGTCTCAGCCTAAAGAAAGAGGAAAAGATCCCCGAACGACGCGCTCCTTGGCTTCTCCACCCCCTGTCGTTTCTCTTCCGGTCGCTGCAATGAAGATGGATGGGGGAACAGCAGGGAAATACGCGATGGAACGAGCGTTAGGGTAAGCCGGCGAAAAAATAAAGAAACGAGGGGGGAAGGGTGGGAGGACGGAAAGACAATGCGATGGTACTTTGCCGAGTTGTTCGCGGGGGCGTGAAGAGCGGCCTCGGGGCTGATCAATCAGCCACGGGGCCGGAAAAAATATTCGCGACGCGCCAAGGGGATTTTCTAGCACCGATAAGAGCCAGGTGTCTGCTGGTGTTGCGACTCGCGGTAACGGCCGATGGGCGTCGTCGAGGAATCGGCCGCGAAATATCGATTCGAGGGCACGCCGTCGTCGCTCGGAGAAGTCCTCGTACACTCTGGCTTTCTTCGAGATAAATTAACGCGTTGACAGGCGAGAGCCCGCGAGAATCGTTCATTGAATCGAACGGGAAAGAAACTTGATCTGGTCTCCGCGACGCGGTGATTATTTCGGCCACGTTCCACTTATTATTTATTATCATTAGTGGACTGCGGATCTTTATGCGAAAATACAAATTTCCGAACTCGATCGTGAGAAACAGAACTTGAATAAAAATATATTTCTCCTTCCAGTAATTTTAACAAGTGGAAGAGTAGATGGCGTTGTCCTGAAATTTTGAAAAAATTTCCTTACGCTTGGGTATCTTGCCTACCTATTTGATGCACTTCAGTCATCTAGAAAAAACCGAGGGTGAAAGACATTTTTCGTTCCACTGTCGGAGATGGCGCTCTTAAACAAGGATCGACAATAAATGCGAGCATCTTACGGGGAATCGTGTGGAATCCGTAAAAGGACAGTTGCAGCAAAGCGAAAGAGATGGGTAAATTTTCGAGAAAAAATTATTTCGTGCTCGAATCCATGTTAATAAATTCGGTTTGAATAAACGCACGAAATTGTATTTAAAGAGGAAGCAGCAATCTGTTCGAGGAAATTAAAATATTTTCCTTTCCTGGGGGGCATAAAATAAACCATTTTTATATCCTGTTACATTAAATAAAATACTGTGATCATGCATTTCAAATATTTCTTCGCTGAAAATAAATTGAGGGAGGAAGCGCGGTTATAATTCGTAGCAAAATTTCGCTTCAGATTTATAAAATACGATTAAAATTTTCGTTCAAACAGATCCCAACGTTTTGGTTCGACGAAAATATTCCGAAATAAAGCGACGTTCCTATATTGTCCCTTAAAAAAAAAAAAAAACATTATTCGGGACCTTCGGCCGGTGCTTCGCAGCCGAAAGCTGTTAAATAAAATACCGTTTCGAAAACAGTTTCCATTAACGCGTCGGTCGACGCGTCGGTTGCGTGCCAGCACAGGTGAGCAAATTGTCCAGAAAAAACACTTGAAATAGTAACTGATATCAGGCGAAATAGTATATCAAATCGGTGGGCAAAATGTTCGCTGACCGAATATTTTATTTTGACATTTTCCGTTTTGATAGTCCAATGCAGAAAATTACACACTTTTATTTTACCGTCGGGATCCGCGAAACGAATGATTTTTATTTTAATAAACTGACGCGTCGAATAAAGTATCTCGCAGACTACTAACAATCAAATTTACGTATTTCGGAGGGAATTCATTTTGATGTGCGCCGATAAATGATCTTCATAAAAGAAATAACTCGATCCGCATGTTTATTTAATACACTGATCAAATATAAAAATACTTTGAATATCGCATTGTATTTCCTCCTTGAAATAGTCGCATTTTCAACCCTTAACTACTGTTACCGGTATCCGTGGTGACGGTTACTAATTACTTATTTATTTGTGGTGATAAGAAAAAAATCATGAAGAAGGAACGTTTTTTATAAGCTTGCTTGTATTCGAACTTACTTGGACTCCTTCGTAATTGATGTACAACAAACTGAGAACAATTGATTTTGATTTTCTATTTCATTCTTGTATATCAATAATAACGCAATAAATATTAAAAGTCTATGAGACCGCTATTAATTACTTATTCGTCTGTGGTGATAATATAATTGTAAAAAAAAAGATGCTAATGAAAGGAACGATTTTAATAGACTTGCTGCCATTGAATCTTATTTGGACTTCTTCATCATTNTTGATTTTGATTTTCTATTTCATTCTTGTATATCAATAATAACGCAATAAATATTAAAAGTCTATGAGACCGCTATTAATTACTTATTCGTCTGTGGTGATAATATAATTGTAAAAAAAAAGATGCTAATGAAAGGAACGATTTTAATAGACTTGCTGCCATTGAATCTTATTTGGACTTCTTCATCATTGATANTAAACTGCGAATTCTATGCATTTATTACAAAATAGAGTAAATGCGGTTTAAAATGCTGAAAAAATCCAACAAATTTAAAAATACTACTATATTATTTTCAATCCATTAAAATGATCGGAGAAAGAACAAACTCGCCATTTAGTTTCTATATCTTCCAATTGACGTAGACGATTTTTATTTCGCAGAAACATTCGCTGCTGGTAGCAACAATCGATTCCGATCGAACACATTTGCGTCAATAATAACGCAACAAACATTAGCAGCCGGTGGGACCGTTGACAGCGGTCGCGTGAGTTCGAATATATGTACGGTAGTCAAGGGTTAATCGAAGTAACGTGGCTGGATTCGCTAATTTGCATAAAGATTTAGAGCGCGGTCAATTATTTCGGTTGTTGTTCGGGACGCTCTAACGACGGTCGGACGGCCGAGGGATTTAAAGGAAAATATTCCGCTTCGAAAACGCCTGGCACGATTTCGAATAAAACCGACTGCTATTCGCCGCTCTCGGAACAGTATTTCACCGATCTCCGGCGCGGAGACAGCTCGACTAGCTGTAAATAAATGTACGTACGTGTTCATAGGCGGCAGCCATCCGAATCACTCACGGAGGATAGGGAAGGAATGAATCACTGTCACCGCGACTGCCCTCCTAATTTGATTCGATTCCCGGGAAACGAACGGGGGTAGAGAAACAAGAGCCGGAGGGGCCAGACGAGGGGAGGCGGCGCGAGGCTCGGGAGAAGCCTTTATACTCGGGGTGAAAAATTCAATTTATAAGGTCAGAAAAACCGGGCTTCCACGTGACGCTTCTCGGCGAGGTCATGAAGCTTGACGGCGAAACTGGGGGCGAAAAAAAAAACGAAGACGAAAAGTGACAAAGTATATTCCTAGGAGAACGAAGTGACGCGAACTTCGTCCGGGACGCCCTATCTCTCTCTCCTCCCTCTCCCTCTCCCTCTCCCTAGCGCTCCACGAGCTCCACGTGGACGCGTCGAGAGGCAGAGTCAGGCATTAACAGATCGAAATATTCGCCTTTTGACTTACCGTTCGTCGACGAACGATTCTGATCGTCGAAAGATCGACGCTCGATTCGAGGGATGGTCGCGTTCGGGATCGAAGGGAATTCAACGATTTTGATCGACTCCGGCGGCGACGGCGCGTGGAGAACCCGTGGGACTCGCGGGAGAGTGCGAGAGCATTTTCAGAGCGCTGAGTGGGGATGGGGGGTGTGTGGGGGTGAGAGGCGAGA